TTAAGTTTAATGTCTGTTTTCACCATGAAGATAAAATAAAGTCCGAAATTTTTTTTTACCATTATAAAGTATATTACATTAGCTTTAATTTAAGATATATATAAAAGTGTCAGACTTTCCGGAACACTTTCAAAATTTAAGTTGAAAAAGTCAATTTTTTGTGAAAAAGTTGTCATTTTGAATCCCCCCCTGTGGGCAAGTAAAGGGTCACATATAAAAAAAAAATATACCAAATGAAAGGTAATGATATCATGCATCTATATAAAAAAAAATATTATATTGATTCGGTTATTTTTAAAAAAGTTATAGCAACTTTAAGCAAAAAAAATTGAAAAAATTTCGAAAATTAGCGATTTTTAAAATTGTAATTTTTTTGGAGGTTTCCCCCATTTACGGGGAACGAGGGAAATTTTTTCATTTTTTGAGGATCATGTCTTCGATTAGATACGATTTGTGATCTTATGACTTATTGTTGAAAGAAATCGGTTCGGTTAGAGCTGAAAAAAAGTGGTAATAGTCACAAAAAAAGAAAAAAACACATCATAGTATAACAAATACCTTCTCAGCTTCGCATCAAAGCTAAAATGTGACTGCAGTCCAACGCATACAGTCAAAAGCGTGTACAAATTTAAAAAGTGGTATTTCTTACGAACAAGCAACCAAAATAAATACTGAGACAGAGATCGAAACTAGAACAACATTACAAGCTGAGCCATCACTTTGCGATGTACTATTAGTCTTGAATAGTATTACCCAAACATTAGCCAAACTAACATTAGACGTTGATAAATTGAAAAATAATTAGTCTAAATCAACTATTAAAAATAAACCATACGACTTATTGTAAATATATATTATTTAATGTAAATTTACTTAAGTTTGGAGACTCTTCACTGGAAGTTTCTCTCCTTCATTGTGTATAATATCTTAACTATACATTTTATGTAATTTTAGATTAATTATGTAAAAAATTTTGATTAAGACCGCAAGGTCGTCTCAAATATATATATTACTTGTAATAAAAAAAAAAAAAAAATTTAATAGTCTACAGGGGTCATACCAGGTTCTGACATCATTATAACTTTCGGATACAGCGAATATTTTGTTTTATTTTTTTTGTTTAGTTATTTTTTACAATTTTGAACTGCATTAATAACGTATTTTTATCGTAAGTTTCTAAAAAAAAAAAAAAATTTAAAAATACGTTGCATTAGAATTGCTGATGACATTGCTATGGGAATAGTGACAACAAAGGAAATGAAAAATCTCTTACTACAATTAATGAAATCTTAAATAGATATCTTATGAGTATCAATATAAATAAAACAAAAGTTATGGTAATAAGTTAAGAGAGCAGAGTCCCTACCGTTAACAGACAATTTGATAGTCAATTATGTAACTAGGTTAGGGACTGGAACGAACCTAAAAAAACAGTTAACCGGAACCTTTAAATTTTTGTAGAACCCGAACAGGAAAAGGAATTTTTATTTTCAGATAGTCGCGAACTAGAACCCAACCTGAACCTATAATAATAAAGGTTTGTTTAAACGGTTCTTAGCCGTCAAACAGTAGTTTATTTGTATAATTCTAACGTTTTATATTTTTGATAACAGTTGAGAATTGTTTTGTTAAGCAAAATGTATGAATCAATCAAATGTTCCAAGATAGGTTTGTTGTCCACAAAATATTATATTTCTATTTTTTAAATTAAATAATCATGTTTAAAACATAATAAACATAATTATCGTCTGTTTGTGTTACTACAGTGCTCTAAATTATTTTTTATGACTGCAGTAGTCATAAATAGAAATTAAAGTAATGTTGTATGCTTGCTTTTTTTGTGGTTTTTTTAACAGACTTTTGCCTGTGTCTTCTTCCAACGCGACAACTGATATAACGTTTAACAGTCAGTCCAGCTTTACACCTTTAAAAATAAAATAAACTTCTTAAGATTTGGTAATTATGATAATTTTGTTATTATTTTACGTCTTCGCGCGCTGATGGATTACATCTTATTATATAATAGAATAAGGAAAAAAACGCTTTTCTGGAAAATTACTTAGCGCACTCGGAATTTCAAAATTTTTTTTTTAAGTTTTAAAAATAAATTTAGGCATTAGGTGAGGACGTTGAAAAATTAATTATAAATAGATCTTCAATTCGAAACTCACTCATACGTTTCCATAATGAACGCGCTGAAAAAATCCGTAATAATTATTTGATAACTACTAAAGATTCCGTTGTCATTCATTGGGATGATAAACTTTTGCCTTTATTACAGAACAAAAAAGTGTTGATCTACTTCTCATTATTGCTTTATGTAATGGTGAGAGTCAACTACTAGGTATTCCAGCAATTAATACGGGAACAGGGGTTGATCAGGCTGATGCTATTTTTCATATACTTATTGATTGGTGTATTACAGAAAATGTACAGGCTTTTTGCTGTGATACTACGGTTTCAAGTATGGGTAGATTGATAAATGATATAGCTGAAAGGAGTGTTAAACTAATGGAGGAGTTTAATACGAAAATAACAAATAATGAAAAACAAAAACAATATTTGCTTCAAGTAGTAAATATCCAGATTTCAAAAAGAGTACTCTTTTTGATAATTATTTAAATGATTAATTTTTAGTTTTTATGTGTTGATGTGTTTTTGTAAATTTTTTATAATTTTTTTTTCGTATTATAGAATTAACACTGAATTCACTTTATTTTGTGTGTTTTTAACAACAAAATTATTTGTATATTGACTTTTTATACATAAATAATAAGTAAATCAAAAGATTGTTCAGAATATAACTTGTGCGAAGTATTATTTTAATCAACTTTTGTTCTTACAATTGACACGGCCACGGTGTTGTCACCCGTTTGACACCCTGCGGTCGTGTCAGCTCCTTCTCAGCCACCGCTTCACTGTAAACCGGACCGTTACACAAACGCGTTATCGTCGTGGTGTAAAGTCCAACAAATGCCTAGCGTCGAATACTCCGCCACAATAATACGTCCAGTCAGTCATCCCATGACACCGTCTTACACGCATCGTAAGGAGAAAATGACGAAAACCATCGCATCGTTTCTTGTCATTTTTTTTGGTTTCTTAATGTCAAAGCATCTGTTGCTATATTTCTTTTTTTTTCTTATTGTTCAATTCTCTTAGTGATTGTGCGCGTTATTATATAATTGTTGTATTATCTTGCCCGAATAAACGGCACCGCGCCAGTTTTGAAATTAATTTGTGTCGACTACTTTTGTTCACTATCAGTTTGCCCTTAACACAATTTTGTTGTGAATCCATTATTTCACGCGCTGAACTAAAAACACAATGAATCCAAAATTTTTGAGTTTTCAAACTTTAGGCCTTTTGTGGTACGGGCTAATCTTTTCTGATTTACCTGAAATATTGCGTACCTCAATTTTATAAGTATTGGAACTAATTTAGATTGTATAATTTTAGAAAAGTTAAGTTTTTAAAATGATCCCTATTTACTAAAACCGCCCTAATATGACACATACACTGGCCACCACTGTCAATACCTGTATAATTTTAATATTGTTCATACTTTTATCTGTTTTATATTTTGTAAATTGTTAAACCGATACCTTCTCACAAACATAATCGTCGTCGTCGTCGTTGTGTTTCGCCCGGTGTGTAACAAAAAATTGTGCTCTCTTCCCTTTGAACCACCGTTGTGGCATTTTGTTGCTGTGTGACGTTTTTTTTTTTTATTATGTATTAATTCTACAAGGTGTCGGCCATTTCCGGGGCCGACATCCCAATCTTAGAATGAGTCCCATCTGGGACTGGGTATCGTATTTTTTTTTTTATTTTATTTAATATATTGTTTTGAACCTTTTCTGTTTATTTGTTTTATTCTTTTATGAGGTATATATACATATTTTTAGCTATAATTAATAAATACAAGGTTATTGGTCAGTGGTGTGTCATGTATATTTAATACATATATATATTATTCCCGCAGTGCCCAAGTACGGTCCGGCCGGCCAGATTACAAAAATTATCCGCCGCGCCCGGAGTACACGGACTTGTTCCGATGCGGAAGACACTTCACGTGTAATGTTTAAAAGTTGTAGGTTAAATTTATTTTTGACTTTGTAATTGTTTTTTTTTCTCTCTCTTGTCCCTTCATTTTCAGAGTGGTTTTTGCCTTCGGGTTTTGTCCACTATTAACTTAACTGTAATAATTTAATAAAGTCACTTTAATTTTCTTAATCAACAAAAATCTTTTTATTGCGTGAATATCTTCAATATTCACGTGTATCTTATTTTTTTTTCCTTTAAATAATTCTCTCTAGTTTTAAAGTAACGATTTTCGACATACTAAAGTATGTCCACCACTGGTGACATCAAATAAACATATTCTGTTTTATTTACAAGGTAACAGCGTACTATAGTGTACAACAACACTTTATATCTTAGTATATATATATATATATATACATATAATTTTTTATATATTATTAGAACATATTAATATCATTATTTAAATATTATTATTATAATAATATTGTTTAATATTATTGGTTTACTTATTATTATTTTTTTTTAAATTCACTTATGGTCCACGTGTTGTTTCTTTTTATGATCAAAACCCTCGCCTAAGAGGTTGGCGACCCGATTTCCTTTTGCAAGGGAGCCATGACGGTGGTGACTACACAATCCGTTGCATGGCCCAAGTCGTCACCTCTCAAGAAATGAGTAATTTTAAATTTGTTTTTACTATTAATACATCCCTAAACCAAAGTTTGATTTTATTTTAACATGATAAAATGTAAGTATAAAATGTAAAAGAATAAATTTTATAATTGTGTGTTAATAGTTTGACTAAAAATAAAAATTTTGAAAGGTATACTTTAATATTTACTTAAAATATGCTTTCTAAATTTAAAAATATAAAATAATTTTTATTATGTGGGTAATTATATATTCATAAACTAAAGTAACCTACAAATTGTCATTAGTTATTAAAAATTTAAAACTTGCAGTGAAAATGATGGTGAGTAATACACTTTACCTAAAGTATCTATTCAAAATTTAAAAAATTATTTTGTTTTATTGCAGAAATGGCAAATTATAACTATTTTATTCATAATATCGTGTTTGATATTTAACGAAGGTAAATTCTATTTTACATTATTTAAGTCTGTTAAGTGTGGTAAGATTACCATTTTAGTTTATATACTTTTTTTTTAAAGCGATGCATATAAATGCGATGACTCTGAACGTCAGCTATTTTACACAGAAAATAGCAAATCATGTAGCTTTTGGAATAATCCACCAATTTTTTAATATTAAACACTACTAAAGAATTGCATCGAAGCGTTTTTTTTTAATTTAAATCACTGTCAGATAGCATTATACTTGATCCAACTATGCAATGTCACCACTGTGCCGCGACTTCCCTGTGCTGAGTTTTATTATTTTTATGATATGTTAGAAAAAAGTCAACTGACGGGTTGGGGGATTTAATATGGCAACTTTTATACAAAAAAAAAAAAATTATTTGAATATTTTTTGTTTATGATTTTTTTTATTTTAAAATATCTTATACTCTACAGTAATGAGGTTACTATTATTCATTAAATTCATATGGATCTAATTTACATTAAATATTATTTTAAAATAATTTTTAATTATTTCCTTCTCAAATCGAGAAAATTGACTTTGAACATTTGAATTATCTTAAATTGCCTTTGTATAAATATATCAACAAGCACGATGTACGATTACACAAGTCATCTACTCATGGAGTACGAGGTTTTGAAACTCGTCGAACATAAAGACAATTTTTGCTCTTTGTTCTTAGATTTTTTGAAAATGGGAAAAAAATTTAAATATTTAGACTAATATCTCAAAATTTTGTTTTTAAAAACATCTATCCTAATTATAAATTAATATAAAATACTAAACACAATATGTTTTCTTTATGTTTGCTTCTTATGACAGTCCAATGAGTAACTTAAGTGCTATAAGGGATTACTAAAGACCATCCACGTATGTTTAAGTTATTTTTAACTCAGTTTTTGAAGATGATTTTGAACATCAGCTATTTTACAACCTAAATTAAAAAAAAGCTATTAANTTAACTCAGTTTTTGAAGATGATTTTGAACATCAGCTATTTTACAACCTAAATTAAAAAAAAGCTATTAAAATGTACTATAAGATTTAAAAAAAATTTGTATTGGCAACTGTTCTGCTATGAGAAATAGGCCGTCAAAGTACAAAAATTCATAATTAATTTAAATTAAAATACTTTTTTATAAGTATGTTGATTTGTTAATATATTCACAAATAATAGGATTATAGAATTTGAATTTACACTAAATTAAACATAAAAATATTATCAATGGTCTTTAAAAAGAAATAAATTTTAATCATCATTGCTATACCACATTTTTGCAAANACTTTATTGTATTAATAATATCATTACTCGGGATATGAGTACGAGGGTCTGTAAGAAAGATAGAAGATGATAGAAAAATAAAGATCACTTTATTTTATTAATATGGGATTTATCATAATTAATTGTCAATTCTTAAATATCAATAATGCCACGAGTTTTGACGGTTATCGATGATAGGTGGGATTGAGTCACCTCGTGTGTCTACCCAGAGTGGTATGGTGGCTATACATATGAACCTCCAACCTAACTCCTGAAATAGACACGTATCAACGATANTTTTTGCATCAAGCGCTTCAATTTTATACATGTTTACCATTCAGGTAACAAAATATACAACTACATTATAATTTTTGAATTACATTATTATTCAAACTATGCCACGAACACATTGTACCAAAACTCCACGTGCTACCATTTTTTTGTTAAAACTGCAAAAACTTTTTTAATTAAAATAAATTTTGGAGTGATAAAAAAAATCTTACTTAACGTATCTGGACGTTTTCAAACATATGTAGCTGTTCAATTTTAAGCAAAATTATATATAAATAATGGATGAATAAATTTTTAATCAAATAAAAAACTTTTCTAAATATTTATTTATAATTTATCAAAAAAAATCAATTAAAATTATTTTCTATTATAATTATTTAAAAAAATATTGTTTACATTTTTTTACGTCTTATTATTTAAGTAAAACATGTTATTCCATTAGTTTTTAGTATAATAATTACAATAAATTTTGACAATAATAATATATTTAGATAAATAATTATAAAATATAACTTAATATACAATTCCAACTAAAATTTTTAACATTTGTGTTATTTAAAATTATCGATGTATTTCAGTTTGAATAAAACTTTTTCAAAAACCGAAGGCATTATCAATAATAATTTATAAATTGTTTACAATCATAATTATTTGATTAAAGAATGATATAAACAAATATT